TGCTAGGATTACAGGCAAGTACCACCATGCCCCACTAATTTATTTATTTATTTATTTGTACACACAGGGTCTCGCTACGTTGCCCAGGCTGTATATCAGACTTTTGATGTAAAAAACAAACAAAAAAAAACCTGACAATATATCCAACAATATTTGTCAACAGTTGCCTTTTTATATTTTTTAATATCTTGTTTTATTATGTTTTAATTTTGAAAATGAATCCTTATCCCTTTAATGTAATCAAAGCTAAATCAGTGAATTCAATTACAAAAATTATTTGTTTCAGTAGAAGAACTGAAAATAATGATGTTAAAATAGTACAGCAAATATATAGATTATCATTTTTGCCCAAATTTTTAAAAAATTAAATCAATCAAGCTATGACACAAACTGTAGTTGAAACTTGGTCTCTGTATTTTCAACATTGTCATATTAGAAAATACTGAATTATCTTAATAGAAGTCTTTAATATTAATTTTAAAATATTTTATAATTTGCCATCTGTTGTAGTTATAAATTGTGTAGGTTTACTACTAATAGAAAGAAAATTATTTCAAGCAGTTAAACAATCTACGCTAAATTTAAAACCATGGGAATAGGAGCATTTTTTTTCCAGTGCTGTAACTCCACAATCTAACAAGATACCTGGAATAATATCTACACTACTATTTCAAAAGTTTAACTCACTTCACCTGGGTTTATCTCCTTTATAAAAATGCAGACTTAAAATATATTAATGGCCGGGCGCAGTGGCTCAAGCCTGTAATCCCAGCACTTTGGGAGGCCGAGGCGGGTGGATCATGAGGTCAAGAGATCGAGACCATCCTGGTCAACATGGTGAAACCCCGTCTCTACTAAAACTACGAAAAATTAGCTGGGCATGGTGGCGCGTGCCTGTAATCCCAGCGACTCAGGAGGCTGAGGCAGGAGAATTGCCTGAACCCGAGAGGCGGAGGTTGCGGTGAGCCGAGATTGCGCCATTGCACTCCAGCCTGAGTAACAAGAGCGAAACTCCGTCTCAAAAAAAAAAAAAAAAAAAAAAAAAAAAAAAATATATATATATATATATATATATATTAATACACCCACAAAAAATAAAATTGGAGAGGAAACAAAACCTGAAAAATTAGTCCGTAAATTTTTGTAAACTGAAAAGCTGATGAAAAGATGGACAGATGGATGGAGATACTTATTCAACAAATAAATACTTGTTCAAAACATACCAGGCAATTTCTAAGTGCTGAAGAAATAACAAAAAAAAAAATTTTTTTTTTTTGAGACAGAGTCTTGCTCTGTCACCCAGGCTGGAGTGTAGTGGCACAATCTCTGCTCACTGCAACCTCCACCTCCCAGGTTCAAGCAATTCTCCTGCCTCAGTCTCCTGAGTAACTGGGATTACAGGCACCTACCATCATACCCAGCTAATTTTTGTATTTTTAATAGAGACGGGGTTTCACCACATTGGCCAGGTTGGTCTCTAACTCCTGACCTTGTGATCCACCCATCTTGTCCTCCCAAAATGCTGGGATTATAGGTGTGAGTCACTGCACCTGGCCCAACAAATCTTTTAAAATGACCACTTAATGAGTTTTAGTGTAATATCAAAAAAAAAAATCCATAATTTTTGAAAAGGCTATTTAAAAACACCTTTCTTTCCAAATAAATATTTATGTGAAACTAGATGTTCTTCATCTATATTAATTAAAACATTTCCTAGCAGACTGAATACTGAAGCAGACATGAGAATTCAGCTATCTTCTACTAAGCCAGACATTCAGTATATTAACAAAAATAAAAACAATGCAGGTCCCTTCTCACTTTTTAAAATACAGTAATTTTACTATAAAATGATATCCTATCAATATATAAATTTATTTTAAAATAAGCTAATAAATACATATTCTTAAGATTTGTTTTAATTTCTACTATGATAAATATGACTAGATGTAATCTGAATAAACAAAAACTCCTTGGAGTTCTCAGTTAAGTTTTAGGAATGCAAGGTTTCCTGGAGCCTTGAGATGAAAAAGTTTGAGAACTACCGGTCTGTAAGTTGCAATACAGGTGATGAGAAATGACTGCATCCTAAAGGTACAGCTGACAGAATATGCTGTGGCTTAGATGTGGCAGGAGATGAAAAGATATTGATAAATGTTAAGCTGGAGCAAATTAGTAGACAATGTTGCAATTTAATAAAAGGTAAAATAGTGGGGGTGGAGGTGCACTGCTGCAAAGAAAAATCAAGAGTTCTGTTTTTAAGTGTTAAGTATTGATTAGATGTGAAATGGAAATATAAAATAGGCAGCTGAATTCTAGAGCTCAGGGAAAACTGAAAAGTTGAGACACAAATTTGATAGTCTATAAGCATCTATATCATTATCGAGTTATATCATCTTGGGAGTGTGTAGACAGAAGAGATGAGCGGGCCAAGGACCACGCCCTATATGCCAACATTTAAAGATCAGACAGAAGAGGAGGAACACCAAAACGACTACAAAAAAGCCCCTGGTAACCCAAACATTTTTTTTTTTTTTTTTTTTGGAGACAAGGTCTTGCTCTGTCACCCAGTCTGGAGTGGCAGTGGCACAATCTGAGCTCACCGCAACCTCCACCCCTCTGGCTCAAGCGACCTTCCCACCTCCGCCTCTAAGTAGTTGGGACTACAGGCGCACACTATCATGCTTGGCTAATTTTTATATTTTTCTGTAGAGACAGGGTTTCACCATGTTGGCAGGGTGGTCTGGAACTCCTGGGCTCAAGTGATCCGCCTGCTTTAGCCTCCCAAAGTGCTGAGATTATGGGTGTAATAATGGGTGCAGTGAGTCACTGCACCCAGCCATAATATTTTTAAAGAAAAAGAAGTGTTCATTCAAACAGTAAGCTGACATCAGGATACATATCCTAAAGAAACTGTTGTACATATAGGTCAGAAGATCTGTACCAGACATTTACATCAGCATTGTTCAAAACGTAGCAAATATATGGAACAGACTGTGAGACCCATCACCCCTCTTTCTTAGAGTCATAAATCAATCCCACATCATTCTACTAGTTGTCTGAAGATTTTAGTTTTGAATTCAATCCCAAACTACCACTGTCATAATTCTTGGTGATTTCAATATCAAGAGAGATGATCATTCCAAAAGTCTTTACATTTATTATTGCTGGAATGTTCATTCTCACATATCAATAAGGTTTCTTCTCACAGGTCTTTGCTTTAATATTCCCTTCATAATAAGACCTTCCCAAATTATCCAATTTTAAACTGCATAATTTTCCCTCTAGTGAAGGCACTTGCTATTCCCCTTCCCACTTGATTTTTCTTTCTCCTTTTCTTTTTTTTTTGAGACAGAGCTTTGCTCTTGTTGCCCAGGCTGGAGTACAATGGCGACATCCCAACTCACCACAACCTCTGCCTTCTGGGTTGAAGCCATTCTCCTGCCTCAGTCTCCTGAGTAGCTGGGATTACAGGCATGCGCCCCACACCCGGCAAATTCTTTGTTTGTTTGTTTGTTTGGGTTTTAGTCGATACAGGGTTTCTCCATGTTGGTCAGGCTGGTCTTCAACTCCCGACTTCAGGTGATCCGCCTGCCTTGGTCCCCCAAAGTGCTGAGATTACAGGCGTGAGCCACCAGCCCCTACTTGATTTTTCTACATAATCTTTATCTTCAGTGACATACTATGTACCTTATTTGTTTATAATACCCATTTAAGTTTGAAAAAGTAGGAATTTATATCTGTTCACTCTGGTATCTCCGGAGACAAAACAATGCCTAAACACAGCCGGCATTAAAAATATTTGTTAAATGAATTAAGATATTATTCAGGAATATTACATGTCTGATAATAGTATTATTAAAGTCCAAACAAATAACTCAAAATTAAGTTTGGGTTATAGGTGAGAGGAAGAGAAGTAAAATATGATCAAAGAACACATAGGGGGATCAAAGCTATTAGCAATTTTATATTTCTTTTGGCTGGAGTGCAGGAGTACTGGGATTATAGGTGTGAGTCACTGTGCCTGGCATAATTTTATATTTCTTCAAGTAAAAGGGTATTTACTTTATTGTTCTTTAACCTGACATACACATATTTGTATACTTCTTTTGTATAGAAGAGAATATATATTTTACACGCATTATTTTAATGGAGGAAGTGGTCAAATTATGTTAAATACTGCTGGAAAAATAGTTAGAAGAGGGCCTAGTTAACAAATTTGACTGCCCTGAAAAGTAAAAGAGATGAGGAAAGAGATAATTATATATTAACAATCCTTTGAAAAAAAATTGTTATGAGGCTGGGCATGGTGGCTAACACCTGTAATCCTAGCATGTTGGGAGGCCAAGGCAGGCAAATCCCTTGACCCTAGGAGTGAAACCAGTGTGGGCAACATGGCAAAACCCCATTTCTACAAAAAATTTAAAAGAAAAAAAAAATTAGCGAGGTGCAGTGGCGCATGCCTGTAGTCCCAACTGCTCAGAAGCTGAGGTGGGAGGATGTCTTGAGCCTGGGAGGCAGAGGCTGCACTGAGCTGTGATCGCATCACTGAACTCCAGCCTAGAAAACAGAGCCTAAACCTGTCTCAAAAAAAGAAAAAAAGAGAGTGAGATTGTTATGATTGTTATGAAGGAGAGCACAGAAATAAAACCGTACCTGATGGGTAAAAGAATTCAGGAGGAAATTTTTGCTGTTCCTTTCTTTTTTAATAACAATATTAAGGCATGTTTGTATACCAACTGAATGATTCACAGGGCAAAACACTATCCATGAAGCTAATTAAAAAAATGTGGAGAAGCTCCTAAGAAGATAGGAAGGAATCAAAATTCAAAGATTTCAAGTGGAAGAGCCATGTAATTTTATGAAGTAAGAACTGTTAGAACTCTATCTCACATCTACTGAATGCAAAACAAACTTGAATAAAGCTAGACTTGTACTAACAATCTAAATTTAAGCATTAAAGTTGCTAGAGGTATAAACAATAAGAGTAAAGAAAGACCTACTTTGAAAGTCACCGTTGCCTTTGTGCAATAAAATCCTATAGAAACAATAGGATCCTTCAAAGTCTGTGCTTTTTGTTGATGTATGGTTGATGCAGGATCGTTCCCAACAAAGTCTTCCTCACCATCGTCATAACTCACAATTGCAGGCACAAAGGACCAGGCCCACGATACCCATCCCTGTGGCTGCTCCTCATCTTGCTGTGCATATAGCTCTTGAACTTTATACTGAGCAGGATATTGTATATCTACTCTTGTTTCATCTTCAGAACCTATCAATTAAAATAAAGTCATTTTAAATAAATCAAAAGGATTAGAAATAGATACCCTTTAAATTTTTCCTCCCATATCCTTCCAATATAAGGTATAAACAAATGATACATTGATTATCATTATTTGAAACGAATCATTTAGCATTACGACTCTCAAGTTTCTGTATGTTGTACTGTATCAATCTCCTTTAGTAAGTTATGGTTATTGAGATGTGGAGAGTAGTTTATCAACTGCACATAGCTTTTAACTGTATTTGATAAATTCAAAGAATAAATTAATTCTTAAACATCACTCATGAATGTTTTAAACCAACAACAAAAAAACCTACCTCTCAAAAATAAAGCTAATATATTGAAAAACTGACTTTTATCAAAAACATAGTACCACAAAGATCCAAGAAACATTCTCCATTTTCTGATGCACCCATGGAGGAAAAAAAAAATGGCAAGGGCTTCTGGGCAAAATGCACCCCCGCCCAACCAAGAATTATGCCAAAGATGAAAGCAAATGTTACAATAAAATGACTTTTATATGTAGTTAAGAAAAATAATAATGTTGGGGCCTCTTTCTTACTAGCAAGTAAGATACGTTGTACCTTTCCTGTTCTACAGATGAAAAAATTAAAGCCAAGAAATTTTATTTGGCTAACAATTGGCAGACCAAAAATTTAGATCCCAACCACCCTTTAATTTATTCCACCTTTGTAAAGACAAACTCCATCAAAGTCCCTTAATATTATTCTAGCACTATAAACCAAAAAGGCATATCATCATGAAACTTAGAAAGAAAAAAATTACTTTTTAAAAAATTCACAGGAGCCAGGAGTGGTGACTCACACCTGTAATCCCAGCACTTTGGGAGGCTGAGGTGGGCAGACCACCTGAGCTCCGAAGCTCAAGACCAGCCTATTGCAACAAAGCGACACCCCCATCTCAAAAAAAAAAAAAAAATTATCAACCATGCTCAGTGGCATGCACCTGTAGTCCCAAGCACTCAGAAGGCAGAGCCTGGAGGATTCCTTGAGCCCAGGAGTTGAAGGCTGCAGTGAACTATGATCATGCCATCATACTCCAGCCTGGGCAACAGAGTAAGACTATGTCAACAAATAAATAATAAATACATAAAGTAAAATAAAATTTTTAAAAGACACCAAAAAAGCTTTAAATGGACAGGTATTTAACACATACTTCACAAAGGCAGAAAAGGCCTACAACCATATTAAAAAACTTAAAATAATTAGCCATCAAAAATGCAAACTAAAACCATGAGATACCAAAACACACTCATCCCAATGGTAAAAATGTCAAAAAATACACCATTAAATGTTGGCAAGGATGTAGGCCAACTGCAACTCTCACACATTGTTGATATGAATATAAAATGGTACAACCACTTTAGAGAAAGTTCTGGAAGTTTCTTTGAAAACTAAACATATAATTCCACTCTTAAGTATTTACCTAAGAAAAAGAATAGCACATGTCTACATGACATTTGTACAAAAATATCTATGAATGCTTTATTTATACTAATAACCAAAAACTAAAAACAGCCCAAGTGTTCATCAACAAATGAATGGTAAAATAAACTATAGTATATTCACATGGTATATTCATACAATGTACCTAGCAATGAAAAGCAAAGAATGACTGCTACATGCAACAACATAGATAAATCCCAAACATACTTGCTTAACGAAAGAAACCTTTTATACATATTGAGTGATTCTATTTGCATGAAATCCTAGAACTGGCAAAACTAAATCTATGATTTTAAAAAACTTCCAAATCTCCAAAGGAGGCCAGCAGGTGGAGGGGGATGACTAGAAAGGGGCGTAAGAAACTGAGATGTTAATGACCTATATCTTGATGACTGTTTCACATCACACAGGTATACGTATTTCTTAAATTCATTGAATTTTACTTTGGAGATTTAACCTCCAAAAATATAAAAAGACTCACTTAGTAGAAACTCTAGATAACAATATGCAGCTGAGGCTTAAGGGTGAAGTGTACCAAGGTTTGTAACTTATCTTGAAAGACATCAAAAACATTGGTTGTATTGATAAAGAAAGGGATGTTAGATGAACAGATATGTGATGAAGCAAATGTAACAGAATATTAATAGTAGACTCTAGATGGTAAGTATGTGAGTGTTCACCTAATAATAACGCTTTCAGCTTTTCTATATATTTCAAATTTGTCATGTTGGAAAAAAATGCAATTATTGTCTATGTGCTACATTTATTCCAGGTAAAAAACACTGTTTCTGTCTCAGAAGTTCATTGTCTAACCAAAATTCACCCTCTGGTGTGAAATACAGGTATGTTTTATAGCTATATACTCTGATTAATGTTGTTCTCTATGTTTTAAGGTAGTAAGATTTTTTAATGCAACAATGTCTAAATAGCAAAAAATTCAACCTTTTTAAAGGTGTACAATTCAGTGGTTTTTTTAATTTTAGAACATTTTCATCATTCCAAAAAGAAATCTACTTTTTTGCAGTTATGATCTCCTCCCCTCAACTCCTGGTTACTAATCTACTTCCTGCCTCTACAAAAGTGCCTATTCTAAACATTTCTAATGGAATCATGTATGTGTTATTTTTTCACTGACTGCTTTCACTTAAGATAATGCTTTCAAGGTTCATCCATGCTATAGCCTGTATCAGTATTTCATTTTTCTGTATAGCTAAGCAATATTGCAATGCATACCGTAATTTGATAATCCATTCATCAGCTGATAAACATTTCAAATGTGTCCAGTTTTTGGCTACTATGAATATGCTACCATGAACATTCATATATAAGTTTTTACATGGACATATGTTATCAATTCTCTTGATATATAAGTAGGAATGGAATTGCTGGGACAATATGGTAACTGTATATTCAACTTTTTGAAGAACTGCCATATTGTTTTCCAAAGCAACTATACCATTTTACACCCCCAACAGCAACTTGCATGAGTTCCAATTTCTCCACATCCTCACTAATACCTGTTATTTTGTATCTTATTATTGTCATCTAGTGCCTATGAAGTGGCATCTAATTGAGGTTTTGATTTGCTTGTTTGCTATTTGTTTATCTTCTTTGGAGAAATGCCTCTTTGCTCATTTTTAATTGAGTTATTTGCCCCTAAGCTTGAAATGCCCTTCTCTTAGGCCTTTATCTAGGGAAATTAATCATCTTAAAACTTTCTGAGTCTCAGGCCCAATACCAAGTCAAAATCAATCATTCCTTTCATCTTTCTACATCAGATCATTCACGCTACTATTTATCAAACTTTCTGCCATTCTACCATATGTCATACTTAACTATCGACATGTCTGACCCATTTTATCTTAAAATTCTAAGGGAAAGAAACACATCAAAATGATCTCCATTATTTTCCCATATTACATATCCTTCAACGAATCTTAGATTTCAATAATTAATAGCACTAACATAACTCAATCTTAGTTAAGTGAACCTTTGCAGAAAAATTACTAATACTATTATTTACTAGGAAATCTTGAGGCTATACTACTTCAACTTTTATAAAACATATATCCTGGGCCAGGCATAGTAGCTCACACCTTTAATCCCAGCACTTAGTGACACTGAGGCAGGCAGATCACTTATACCTTAGCGTTTGAGACCAGCCTGGGCAACACAGCAAAACTCTGTCTCTGCAAAAAACGCAAAAATTAGCCAGGCATGGCGGTGCATTCCAGTAGTCCCACTTGGAAGGCTAAGGTAGAAGGATCACCTGAGCCTTGAAGGTCAAGGCTACAATTACCCATCCAGCCTGGGTGAGAGAGCAAAATCCTGTCTCATTCATAAACAAATAGTACATTCTGAACACTTATTTCTATTAGAAATATAAAAGTTATTTTAAGTATATAAGAAAAAATCATAATGTTATTCAGCATGTAGATAAAATTAAAGTAGTGTAGAACAGGTACAGTGGCTCATGCCTGTAATCCCAGCACTTTGGGAGGCCAAGGCAGGCAGATCACCTGACATCAGGAGTTTGAGACCAGCCTGGCCAACATGGTGAAACCCCATCTCTACTAAAAAAACACAAAAATTAGCCATGTGTGCTGGTGAATGTCTGTAATCCCAGCTACTCAGCAGGCTGAGGCAGGAGAATCGCCTGAACCTGAGAGGCAGAGGTTGCAGCGAGCCATGATTGCACCACTGCACCCCAGCGTGGGCAACAGAGCTAGACTCCATCACAAAAGAAAAAAAAAATTAAAGTAGTGTAAAACAACCAAAATACCATCAGCTCATCTCATTAGAATACTGTAAAACTAAATCAACACATTTTTTTAAAGTTTCCCAATGGTAAAATAAAGTTTTAATTTAATATAATTTTATGTTACTTACCTGTAATGTTCCCTAGCATATCTTTATTGTAACAAGTAGGGTCCTCTATTTCTCCTTCTTTAAAATTGCCTATTTCTCCATAGTAAAGAGCAATTCCAAGTTGCATTATACGAATAAACATAGGCAGCTGTTGATCTGTGATAGAAAGTTTCAAACTTTCTACTAAAGTATGAATCTGCATTTTGAAATAGACAAAAACACAAACGCCTGTTTTAAAAGAGTACCTTTCATGTAAAGCAATTTTTTTAAGTCTTCAAATGGCAAAACATAAATGTTCCAAACATTTTAATAAAAATTTTATGTCATTTTAATAAAACTCTAATCATTTTTTCCAGTTTTATTAACCATAAAGAATATACATCCTAAAACCATATGTTAACTGGGGAAAAGACCAATATTACAACTATGAAAGTATGTAAATAATAAAATTTTTGTCAAATATGGAAAACCAAATGAAATATATGTTAAAAAAAGTTTTTCAGACAAATTTTAAATAACACTTAAATAACAAAAGTTTTTCAAATTTTAGATAAGATTCAAATAACATAAAATTTATTCAACTGATAAAATGAAACAATTATAACAAAGAAATAAGATTAACTACTAGCAAATAGGGCATACAGCAGTGAAAGTTCTTAAAGAAAGAGACACCAGTGGAATATAAACACAGCTTCAGTGTAATGGTTTCCTCCTGTTATTGAAACATGGAGTAAAACCAATTAAGCTATAAAGTCAAGTATCTGAGAAGGTTTATTTTGACTAAAGTATTTGAGTGTCTACGAAAGATGAAGCATTAGTAATAGTAATCATCATGTTTCTAGGGCTCAGAGCACCAAAAACATATATGTGAAGGTGGAGAAAATTGTATGGAAGGCCTGTGAAATATCATATTTCAAATATAAGCACAAATTTTGTTGTTTTTTTTGCTTTTTTTTTTTTGAGACAGAGTTTCACTGTGTCACCAGGCTGGAGTGCAGTGGTGCAATCTCTGCTCGCTGCAATCTCGGCCTCCCAGGTTCAAGTGAGCCTCAGCCTCCCAAGAAGCTGGGACAACAGGCACCTACCACCACGCCCGGCTAATTTTTGTATTTTTAGTAGAGACGGGGTTTCACCATGTTGGCCAGGATGGTCCCGATCTCTTCACCTCGTGATCTGCCCACCTCTGCCTCCCAAAGTGCTAGGATTACAGGTGTGAGTCACCATGCCTGGCCAGAGCACAAGTTTTTAAAAACTGATCTAATAATTATACACAGAATAAACAATGAAGAGGTAAGAAAATGGGGAATGAGTGTGGGAGGTGAGCAAGAAAGGAGTATTCATATCTACTAAGGTTTCCTTAATTTGAAATTTTTCTGTCACATTCTTTGAAATATTGTATTGCACCAATAGCATTGGTGACAAGCAGTCAGCAAAACCAGTAACAATCTGTCATAAGTATCTATTTAAAATCTACTTAAAATGAATAAGATTAATAGTCAATAGAAAAATGGATAAAGAACCTGAATTGATAATACAAAGAACGAATGGCCAGTGAATGTGTTTTAAAAAATCTAACTTCACTAATAAATGGCAATTAAATTACATATCATTTGTGGTTCAACATGTCGGCAATTTTTAAAATATGATAATATTTAAGGATAATGAGAATATAATATAGGCACTCCTCTTGATGTTCATGGGTGTATAACCTGGTTAAATCTTGCTGAAAATAACCTGAAAACACAGATCTCAGGCCTTTAAAAAAAAAAAAAAAGATATTTGCAATTACAACAAATCTTTCCTAAGGAATTACTCAGAAATGTCAAAGATCTATGCACAGAAATTCATTGCTCTGAGAAACTGCAAAGGAAATTTCCAAAAACAGGAGAAATGTTAAATAAATTATGTACCCCTAGGATCTGTATCTCATAAACATCATAATTACCAGAGCATATTTATTTCACACAAAAAATGGAAAATTATAAAAAGCCAACCTAAAATATAAATAAATACATTCAAAAGCCACTTAAACATATATGAAAGATTTAAAAAGAAGTAAGAGTATCTAGAACATTTTGGGAAAACTCTTGTTTGTGAGGTAATTAATGAGGTCGGCCATATCTATTTAATACATATTCCCTAGAATTAGGAGTTGGAAGGATGATGGGTCTAACCCAAAATGGTAAATCTTAACATTACAATAGTATTAGCAAAATACTAAGGTAGGCATTATGGCTCATGCCAGGAATCCAAGCACTTTGGGAGGCCTAGACAGGAGAAGTACTTGAGGCCAGGAGGTTCAAGACCAGCCTGAGCTGCATAGTGAAACTCCATCTCCCAAAAAACAAAAAAAAAATTAAATATGAGCCAGGGATGGTGACAGGCACCTGTAGTCCTAGCTACTCAAGAGCCTGAAGCGGAAGGATTGCTTGAGCCCAGGTGTTCAAGGTTACAGTGAGCTATGATTGTGTCACTTCACTCCAGCCTGGGTGACAGGGAACCTTGAAAGTAAAGAAAAAATAAAGGAAAAGAGGTCAAAGAAGAGAAAAGGAGAGGGGAGGGGAGGGGGTAGATGAGGGAAGAGGAGGCGAGGAGATGGGAAGGGAGGAAAGGGGAAAGGAGGGGAGGGAGAGGAGTAGGGAGGGGAGAGGAGAGGGGGGAAAGGAAGGGGAGAAAAGAAGAGGGGAGAGGGGGGAGGGGGAGGTAAGAGAAGGAGAGAGGAGAGGGAGAGGAGGAAAGGGGTGAGGAAAGGAAGGGGGAGGGGAGGGGGAGGGGAAAAGAGGTAAGGGAAGGAGAGAGGAGGGGGGAGAGGAGGAAAGGGGAGAGGAGAGGATGAGAGGGGAGGTGAGGTGTAAGGGAAGGGAAGGAGCAGGGAGAGGAAGAGGGAGGAGGGGAGAAGGGGGAAGGGAAGAAGGGGGAGGGGAGGAGGGGGGAGGGGAGGAGGGGAAGGGAACCAATAAACTAAAATATTAGGTTAGCATATCAAGCTTTACAAAGTCACCAAGTAAAGAGAAGAAAAAGTATGGTCCACAGATCATGCTGAACAAGATTACAAGAACTGAAATATAGAATACTGATATGCAGTCCATTATGGTTATAAATATACTTTTTAATATTATTTCCTCTATCTACTTGAAGAGAGAAACACTAATAAACAGCTGGATAAAATTTAAAAAAAATTACAGTTATAGAAAAATGTCTCTAAACTCTACTAGAACACATTATACAGAAATGTATAAATATAACATAAAAATCATAAACATAAAACTTTTATAAAAACAAATAGCATAAATATTTATAAGGTTAATTTCTTTATCATTTGTTAATAATGATTAGCATCCACAAGAGTCAATAAACAAAATAGAGACACGCAACTTAACCACAAAAAAAATAAGAAATACCTACTTTAATAACAGACGGCATCTTGGAATTTAGGTTATCATATGTAAAGTGAAGACGAGTTCTGAAGGAACATTTGTACAATAAAGGATCCTGGTAAAATTCTATTTTACCACTGGCATTCCGTTTATCAAGACAAACTGTACAGTCAGAAAAATTGATAACCTTTCTCAGCACCAAATCAGTTGCTAAACAGAAAGGAAAATATTTTAAGTAAAAAGGAAAATTAGCAGGGGAAAGGCAACTATTATTTATTAGTATAAACAGCAATAAAATTAACAATAACAGAAAATAAGATTCACAGAGCATTTAATACATACATAATGCCAAACAATATGCAATGAACTTTTCATTTTATTATATAATTTAAATCTTCCAACAACTTTATGAAATAGGCACAACCCTCCCTATTTTACGTATGGAGAATTAGAGACCGAATTCGCTTACCCTCAATCTGCATAGAACATAACTACACATTTTTTTAATTACGAAAAATTTCACTACAGTTCTCTTACACAATGAGATAACAAAATTCTTAAGAATCCATATTAAAGATAATTCTTTGAAAAAGTCATTCATTTGACATTTATTTTTTATTAAAAAACTCTCTGCTACTCTAAACCTGCACTATCCAATATGGTAGCCACCAGCCATATGTGGCTATTTGAATTAATTAAGCTTATATAAAAATAAAAATTCAGGTCTTTGGTTGCACTAGTTACATTTCAAGTGTTAACAGCCACATGTGGCTAGTGGTTACCATACTGGAAAGTGAAAATATAAAACACTTCTATTATCACAGAAAGGTCTAGTGTACACCACCACATTAATAAAGAAATCACCAGTCTAGAGTATATTTTCAAAGGAATAAAAATAAAACAATTGATGGTAAATTATAAAACTATAAAATGAAGCCTTTAGCAAATCAATAATTTTATTCTTAACTGATAAGCAATTCCTAGGTAAATATAAGGCTGAAATCTACTTGCCCAGTGAGTTTAAGTTAGCCATGGGAATTTAAGAAACAATAAAATGTGTTTTAGTTCAGGTTATAATAACCCTATTTCTGAGTATATCCTAGCAACTTCTAATTAATTCAACATTTTATTTTATTAAGTTTTTAAAAAGAAAAAATCAGAGAAGATGTGTCTAAACAGTAGTAGTATTTGCAGATAAATTTCAAAGTTGTCCAGTAGTTGAAAAAGATACATGACTACCATATCATTTCAAATTTACATATTATATGAATATATGATTTAGTTACTATTATACAGGTATACAAATTAAGAAATTACAATAGTAGGACTAGAAATGAGAAAAAAAAAATAAGATATCCTGTAGGTATTTCCTTCCCTCTCTTTATGATAAACAATTATCATTTACTGAGTATTTGATATGAGATACTACACTACATCTTTTACATCTCTTATCTGACAATATTTACATAGTCCTGTTAAAAGATGTGAAAACTGAGGCACAGTGGTAATAAATAATTTGTCTACTGTTGTACAGTTTATAAAGATCAGAGCTGTAATTCAAACTCTGGCAACCTTACTGCAGAGTTCATGTTCTTATTTACTGTGCTACAAGAATGTAAGCTATTCAGGCCAGGCATGATGGTTCTCACACCTATAATCCCAGCACTTTGGGAAGCCGAGGCAGATTGCTTGAGGCCAGGAGTTCAAAACCAGGCTAGGCAAAGTGGTGATACCCCATCTCTACTACAAATACAAAAATTAGCTGGGCATGGCAGAAAACGCTGCAATCCCAGCTACTCAGGAGGCTGAGGCATGAGAACAGCTTGAACCTGGGGGGCAGAACTTGCAGTGGGCCAAGATCATGCCACTGCACTCCAGCCTGAACAACAGAGTAAGACTGTCTCTTAAAAAAAGAATGTGAAGTACTGATATTTCAAGGTTACTCTAGAAAATTATTATTCAGTAAAAGAGGAAATTATTAAGTTTTAAAATGTTTTTGTTTTTGTTTTTGAGAGAGAGTCTTGCTCTGTCGCCCAGACTGGAGTGCAGTGGCGTAATCTTGGCTCACTGCAACCTCCGCCTTCCAGTTTCAAGCAGTTCTTCTGCCTCAATCCTCCCAAGTAGCTGGGATTAAGGCGCCCGCCACCATACCCAGCTAATTTTCGTATTTTTAACACAGACAGGGTTTCACCATCTTGGCCAGGCTGGTCTCAAACTCCTGACCTCGTGATCCAACTGCCTCAGCCTCCCAAAGTGCTGGGATTATGGGCGTAAGCCACCATGCCTGGCCTAAAAATGCTTTTTCTTAAACACAAAATATAAGAGCAACTATATTTTAAAAACTTACAAGATGAATTATAGTTTCTGGTACTTACTTTAGAAATGCGCTACAATTTAATCAGTAAAATATTATTTATCGCCGAAATTAGTGCTCTATAACTATATATGCCAGTATAAGGAAATATTAAAAGCATTGTATTGAATCTATTCAAACCACATTCTCAGCAAACTGACACAAGAACAGAAAACCAAACACCACATGTTTTCACTCATAGGCAGATGATGAACAACGAGAACACTTGGGCACAGGGAAGGGAACAACACTCACTGGGCTAGATTGGGGGGTCGGGGGGGAGGGACAGTGGGAAGGTGGGGGGGAGGGACAGTGGGAGGGTGGGGGTAGGGAGAGTGGGAGGATGGGTGGAGGGACAGCAGGGTAGGGTAGCGGGGAGGCTGGGGAGGGATAACACCAGGAAAAATGCCAGATGTAGGTGATGGGGAAGGGGAGGATGGAGACAGCAAACCACCATGACATGTATGTACCTATGCAACAATCCTGCAGGATGCAGGATGTGCACATGTACCCCAGAGCCCAAAGCATAGTTAAAAAAAAAAAAACAACATAGTATTGATTGAAAACAGCAAACCCAAAATACAACATGTAAGAATACTATTTTTAAAAAGGGGGTAGGAAGCTTATTCAAAGAAATAGTAAGAGAAAACTTCCCAAGCCTGGAGAAAGCAATCAAAGAAAAGCCTAAGACCTGATGGGTTCACTGTCATATTCTACCAAACATTTAAAAATTAATACCAATATTCACAAACTATTCCAAAATATTTAAGTGGAGGGAATTCTTCCAAAATCATTTCCATACTATCCAAAGCAATCTGCGAGATAACACAATCCCTATCAACTATCAAAATACCAATGACATTTTCACAGACATTTGAAAAAACAATCCTAAAATTTGCATGGAACCACAAAGACCCTGATTACTCAAAGCAACTCCAAGCAAGAAGAACAAAGCTGGAGGCATCACACTCCCTGACTTTAAAATATGCTAAAAGCAATAATAACCAAAACAGCATGGTCCTGGCATAAAAAAAAAAAAAAAAAGATACATAGCCCAATGGAACAGAATCAAGAACCCAGAAATAAATCCATGCATTTACAGCCAACTGATTTTCCATATAGTGGCCAAGAACAAACACGGTGAAAAAGAACAGTCTCTTCAATAAATAAATGGTGCTGGGAAAACTGAGTATCTATATTCAGAAGAATGAACCTAGACCCTTATCCCTCAATAAATCAACTCAAGATAGATTAAAGACTTCAATGTAAGAACTGACATTGGTCTAGGCAAAGAATTTGGGACTAAGAACTCAAAAGCATAGGCAATATGCTTTGAATATAAATCTTTCTACCATAAAGACACATGCCTGTGCATGTTCATTGCAGCACTATACACAATAGCAAAGACATGGAATCAGCCTAGACGCCCATCAACAGTGGACTAAAGAAAGAAAATGTGAGACATATACACCCTGGGATACTACAAAGCTGAAAGAAAGGATAAAATCATGTCGTTTGCAGCAACGTGGATGGAGCTGGAGGGCATTATCCTAAGCAAATTAATGCAGGAACAGAAAACCAAACACCGAATGTTCTCAATTATAGGTGGGAGCTAAGCACCAAGTATACACAGACACAAAGAAGGGAACAATAAATACCAAGGCCTACTTGAAGGTGGAGGGTGGGAGGAGGGTAAGAATAAAAGAAAACTAACTAGTAAGTACTATGTTCATTACTTGGGTGACAAAATAATCAATCAGATATATTGCCTTGCCTTTACCAAGCTTGGAGAAGCAACATGATGCCTTTCACCTTTCAGAAATATAAAAAATTCAAACTAAATATCATTTAACTTTTATTGCTACAACCCACAGTATTGTAAAATACAGTCATCCACTGCACAACAATACTTAAGTCAATAACAGATCATATATTTATGATGGTTGTCCCATAAGATTATAATACCATATTTTTACTGTACCTTTTCTGTCCATTTGCACTTTTCTGTGTTTAGATACACAAATACTTACCACTGTATTACAACCACCTGAAGTATTCAGCACAGTAACATGCTGTACAGGTTTGCAGCCTGGGAGCAATAAGAGCCTATACCATATACCTGAGGTGTGTAGTAGACCATACCATCAAGGTTTGTGTAAGCATACCCAATGATGTTTGCATAACAAGAAAATCACCTAAGACGCATTTCTCAGAATATGTCCTTGTTGTTAAGTAATACATGATTGTATTACATATCACATTTGAAACAAGCATGTGGCAGGTAAGAAAGAATGAAAATTAAAAGTATTAAAAACAAGTTTAGGCCAGGCATGGTGGCTCACATCTGTAATCCCAGCACTTTGAGGGGCCAAAGCAGGTGAATCGCTAGAGCTCAGGAGTTCAAGACCAACCTGGGCAACACGGCTAAACCTTGTCCCTACAAAAAACACAAAAATTAGCCAGGAATGGCAGCATGTCCCTGTAGTCCCAGCTACTCAGGAGGCTGAGGTGAGAGGACTGCTTAAGCCTGAGGCAGAGGTTGCAGTGAGCTGAGATCATACCATTGCACTCCAGCCTGAGCAACAGCGCCAGACCTTGTCTCAAAAACAAACGAACAAACAAAACCACAAGTACAGGGTTTCTGAATTTGGAGTGTCTACTAACCACCTATAATTATATGCTACATTTTGTATACGTGCATTTTTTTCCCACACTGGAGGAATAAAGATTTAATAACATTTACCAGCAAGTCAGTTGGCCCAAAGAGAAGTTAATAGTCAAGGCAATTGTTTCAATTATAGAAAAATATACGGTATTCTTGACATTTACTCACCAGAAATATCCATGAATGCACGATCCCATAATTCACCTACTGTATAACACTCTGCAGAAGTGATGTTGACTGAAAGAACAATATCATCTTCAACATATTTTAGTATGAGATTATTTATCACAATGTTTACATTATTCACAACTCGTCTAATCAGACTCTGCACATAACCTATAAAATAGGAAAAAAGAATTTAGCCACAAATTACTCAGTAAACAATTATTTCTTAAAATGTTATTGAACTTAATGTATGAGAAAGGTGGATATGATTTAGCATATTTCCCAAAGAGAAACCAAAGTTCAGATGGGTTAAAAGACTTGCCAAAGTGACACTGGTAATAAGTAGCAGATCCAGCCCAACAAATGTCATTATCAAGACGTTCTATAGTGAAATATTCACATACTAAGAGAAACAACAAAGATCATATATATTTTTATAACATAATACTAGATCCCATATAATGATTATCCTATACTACAAGTACTTTGTTTGATTTCTGCTTCTTATGTTATATAAACATTTTCCAAAATAAAGCAATGTTACTATATGCTGATTATACAGTATATTTGAAGATAAGCTTCTTTAAGCTTCTTTTTAAACCAGATATCATCATCTCTTCCTAGTTTAGCTATAAAGACATTTAACAGTTATGCCTGGGATAGGAGAAACATGACTACCCTAATGGATTCAATTCTGTTCACTTATTAAAATTCAATATTGAGAGTAGAGGAGAAAATAAGAATAAACAAGAAAATGTAGACAGGATGAGTTAAAAAAGTATTTTTTAAAGACTACCATGAAGAAGACAGAAAACAGAAAAAACAAAAGTATGGAAGGAAGGAGAATATATAAAAGTAGAAGAACACAGGGAATAAGAAAAAGAAATAGAAATACTGGTTAACTCAAAACACTAAAAGTAATTAATGAGCATTCTATTTCTCCATGGCTTGCTTAGAATCTCCAAAATTTTTCTCTTAATTTCATGCTACTGTGGAATACTCCATAATTTCACTTATGTTTCTCACATAAGTGTGTAAATGGATACATTATTGAAGAATTTAGTTGAAAATATAAATAACAGTTTATTAAAAGCATTTTAAAAGCCAGGGAAAAAAATGTTTTTAATCTTTTCTACTGTAAAAAGCTGATAAAAAGGTAATGCATTTCCACTATTAAAAGAAACTATTTAAAAGGTAATTAAAATTTTAGCTATTTGATGAAATAACCATATGGTTTTGTTCTTTAACCCAGAATTTTACTGGACAAAACAGAATCAACTTCTGTCAGCAACTGACATTGTTAACACCTACACTAAAGCCTGATGGAAAAAAGCTTATTTAAATATATTCAACCATAACATGTTTGCAAAACCCAACTCCTTCATTCATTGTCAATGATGCAAATAGGAAAGAAATGTAATACAACTTAGGTTGTATTTTCTGGCTGGGCATGGTGGCTCACGCCTGTAATCCCTGCACTTTGGGAGGCCAAAGCAAGCAGATCACTTGAGCTCAGGGATTCAAGACCAGCCTGGGCAATGTGATACAACCTCGTCTCAGCAAAAATACAAAAATTAGGTGAGTGTTGTAACATGTACGTGCCTGTAGTCCCAGCTACTCAGGAGGCTAAGGCAGGAGAATCATGTGAGCAGCAGAGGTGGAGGCTGCAGTGAGCCGAAGTTGGGCCACTGCACTCCAGCCTGGGTGACAGGAATGAAACCCTGTCTCAAAAAAAAAGAAAAGAAAAAAAAAATACTTTCTTTCCATTTTGTATTATAAAACTGACATACAAATTGAGATGAATAAGCCAAATCACCAAAGTAAAAGAATCAAGTATCAAAAGAACTACTTCTGTAGAAGACTATTTCTGTTTCCTTATTAAAAACGCAATGCTAAAATAAGTAACAGGAACTTATCAGTGGAATAAATGACACACTATTTCTATAATCCTTCATAGTAACTTGGTTCTAAGCAAGCTACAAGATAGTGTCAAGTAGATCTAATAGCTCTCATCACTCCATACTTAGAGAAAACCTGGGAGTATATTTGTTCAAATAACATAATAATCATCCGGGTCTATTCCACAAGCATCTGAAAATGGAAAGTCACACTGAGGAAGAGAACCTATAAGATGTAATATTAGATGGCTCTAAAACAGCCTGTTACTAGTCAATCTTTCTCCAGAAATTCTTATTATCTACTTTTCCCCATAGCTCATATACCCCCTTCTTCTAAACATATATCTATATCCACAGGACCAGATGAAAACACTAAATTTTCACTAACTTTACTCATGTTCTTCCTCCTTTTTAGAATATCTTTTGTCCATTTGCACTTCTTGTTCAGGTGCAGTATAATTTTCCTCTGCTTTATACTGTCTTCTCCAATGTCTCCCATCCTATACATCAGCATTAAAGAGAATGTCTCTACCACTTTTCATGGGCTTATGTTACTATTTGTCACTTGTTTATGCATATGTATACTTATCTTCTCTGATAAACTTTAAAATCCTAGATTAAAAGATTATATCTTATTTATTTCTCTGATAGTTTTAAATTAAATGGCAGGTATCAAAAAATGTTGGTTACAAAGAGATAACATCTGCAACTGATTCATCTTGTTGTAGTCACTGGGAAGCCAAGTTGCTCATAGTCAGAAATTCCATGGTTGATGACTTAGTTGCATCTTAGTCAAGTTTTTGGTGTAAAATTTATTTGAGCATTATGTGGCATCAGATAGGAAATTTATGCTCAAATGGTTAAAGGGAAAATAAGCTTTTATAATGTTCTTGTCTTTTATAGAACGCTGAAATTGTTTCAAAATAAAAACTTAGTTAAAAGGCCAAGAATAAAAAATCTTTATTGTCAATGTTATAGACAGGACCAATAAAATATGAATTAAAAACATTTATCAGATTTAATAACTAGATAATAATTTGGGCAGTTACTATAGGAGCTAAAAAATAGACGTCAGCTGGTGAAACCATTTTATTTAAGATGTCACAGAAGTTCTAGACAATGAAATAAAGGGGAAAAAAGAGAATTTAGTGTAAGTATTGTAAAAGAGGAAAAAATTATTTCACAAAGATGACAGTACGTTTTATACAGAAACTCCAAAAGAAGCAGCTAAAAATTACCGAATACTGGTCACCTAACAAAATATAAAAATTAGCTTTCCTACACAAAAAAGTAATAAAAGGCCAGGGGCAGTGGCAAACTTCTCAAAAATCATCTCTGGATTTACATAAATGCCCAAACTCCAAAGCTGTAAGCACAGATACCAGAAGAAATAACTTGCCCCAGAAAATTTCAAAAGCAGGAATGTATCCCTACCATGAAAGAACTGTAATTAGTATAATTCCCAAGAAGGATAAGGTTGCCCGAAAAGAGTCCTCAAATAACCATAGGAGTTAAACTTGAAATGATAACTTGATTTATTATTATCCAACTGGATTCTCAAATTATCCCTTTTTGTACTTTTGGCAAAATTAAGTTTAGCTGCTCTGCCAATCAGTAATTGGCCAACAGTTTCAGTTACTTCTTAACCATGATTTACGTCAGCATAATAGAGACTATGAGTTCTCCTCTCAGGTAAAGGTAGAAAAGCACATGCTAATCTAAAAACTACCTCAAGTAGTTCAGATACAGCACAATTCTGTCATATGCTACTAAAAATAGGATGTTTTAGGCTGGGCGTGGTGGCTCATGCCTGCAATCCCAGCACTTTGGGAGGCAAAGGTGGGGTGGATCACTTGAGGTCAGGAGTTCTAAATCAGCCTGGCCAACATGATGAAACCTTGTTTCTATAAAAAATACAAAAATTAGCCAGGCGTGGTGGTGCAGCTACTTGGGAGGCTAAGGCAGAAGAATTGCTTGAACCTGAGAGGCAGAGGTTGCAGTAAGCTTAGACTGCGCCACTGCACTCCAGCCTGGGCCATAGAGTGAGACTGGGTCTCAAAAAAAAAAAAAGATGTTTTATGTTATGTTGATGATTTCATGTTTTGTGCCACAAAAAATAGGCCAATTCCCCCAATTCTGAATAACGGTCTAAATTCTAATACAGACAATAAAGAATCATTAAAAGTCTGGGACTTATTTTGAGTACATGCAGGTTAGCCCATAGAAAGTTTCTATGAAATCAACAACTGACAGTAGCTTTAATTTTTTTGTGTTTCCTTAGGAAAAATAAAATATAGAACAAAACAACAATTAAACCTACAATTGATTATTCTTTGCCAGGACATTGAGAAACAGATCCCAATGCTTCTATACACAAGCTACTATAGGAACTCTTGAGACAATATGTAGTCATAAATTTGGAGAGATAAAAGGATTGTCCATTTAAAAAGAATAGCTACAGTTTAATTTCTCAGGATTTTTCCCAAGGCCTTAATTATTAAGAAAATGTTTTTTAAATTCTGGAACCATCATACAACTCTAAATGCAAATAGAAGCATTTAGAAGTAAAATATCTTCTTCTGACACTTTTCAAGTTTATGATGATCTATCCAGAAGCCAGATGAATAACAAAGACCGGTTTAACAGAGTTCTGAAGAACACAAAGCATCAGTACTAATGTCATTACAGCACTAGTTAGCAGTGTTCAATTCAAATGTAACTTAGGACATATATTTGAGGGAGGTGGGTATATAAAATGGTATACCTAATTCCAGCTTCTTACAAGTAAGTGGTGCAAAAGGCTGCCAAAATGTAATGAGAGTAGCAGAAAGCTTATAACCGTTTGGCACAGAAAACAACTATATACCAATGACTAACATATCTCACAAAAATAGGAGTCATTAATAAATAAAGTCAAAACAGAAGTGACTGATAAAGAACTCATAACTATAAAAAGGCGGCAATGCACCTTGGCCACAGAGCTGACATGTAATGACACATGTCACATGACAGTTTTTTAATTAAATATTTACCAAGAAACTGTTTTATGCAAGCCACTACTGTCCCACCTAAATAAAAACTCCAGGAAATAAAAATTATGTGATTCCATTAGTGAATTTTAGAGCTTCCAGAAACTCAGAATAATCTAGTGTCTTTTCTCTGTTTATCAAGACACAAGGGGAACAAAGAGACTGTTAGTCTTTGCTTACACTATCAGAAAGAAACTCAAAGAACAACATATTGCAAAAGAGGATCAAAATTTAAATGAAAGCCATTTGTGAAGCCTCTGGACCCAATCTGTTCTGAATTCATGCAGCAAGTACATATGCACATATAGCTTAAAAGTTTTATGACACTAAAAATATATATTCTACAAAGGACTAAAACAATTTTTTTTTTGAGACAGAGTCCTGCTTTGTCGCCCAGGCTAGAATGCAGTGTCACGATCTCAGTTCACTGAAGTCCTCACCTCCCAGGTTCAAGTGATTCTCCTGCCTCAGCCTCCTGAGTAGCTGGGATTACAGGCACATACCACCACACCTGGTTAATGTTTGTATTTTTAGTAGAAACAGGGTTTCACCATGTTGGTTAGGTTGGTCTTGAACTCCTGACCTCAAGTGATCAACCCACCTCAGCCTCCCAAAGTGCCAGGATTATAGGCATGAGCCACCACACTCACCAATATTTGAAATTTGGTTTTATCTATCCTGTTAGAAGTTACCTGGTGGTAAATCAGGATCTGTAGGAGCAGCCTGCTGAATTCTCCGGGGCTTGATTGATGATTTTGTGTTCTCCGTAGTACTACGATTTGTAGAGTTAGAACCACAGCTTTCATGGTCATCCTATTTTTATTTTAAAGAAAGAAAAATAAAACCATCAATCATGTTTAAGAATTAGGGAAAAATTTGTTGAATATATGCAGTTTATGGTAGCTAAAGGAGACAAGATCAACATAATTTTATTTTTTTAGCTCTAAAAGCTATATAACCAATTTTCATAATTTGCATTCTCAAACAGTATTTAAAAAATAACTAGTAGCTTAAAACTATAAATTCTTTTTTCTTTCACTGATATCAAAACAAACTACTTGAAAATGCCCAAAGAATTCTTATTTATGGCTCTAGCAAAAGAAAAAATTAGTTAATGAAAGCTTTTAAACAACATACGTCTCTAAGTGCAAAGTAAATTAAAAGGTTCTTAATTTTTCCCCTATTTGTTGTTTATAGGTTAAAATACTACTTTGAAACCAAGCTATCTTGGTCATCTTTAACGATTAGTCTTAATCATCCTTATAATCCTCTCCATCTTACTAAACAATATATACAAAATTATTATTCATGTTAGGTATAAGTTTTAACTAGGTTTCAATATGAATAACAGAAACAAATAAATTATACATATTTTTGAAATTTATCCCTTTAAACTGCAAATGAGTACTTTTTTCCTGTCCTGTTTCAACATTTATATAATGGTCGTACATGCCAATTGCTGGATTTACAAGGATAAATTAGATAAATGTATCTTTTATCCTATCCTCAAGGACTTCAGAATCTATCAAATACATATATAATTCTACAAGAGCAATACTTTTTTTGTTTGTTTTTAAGTAATAAGGAGTATAAAAAGAGTCATTCTGTTTCGAAGAACTAGAAAGATCAGGCCATTCAAATCAAATGTAGAAATGTTTTCAGTTAGGACTGGGGGCTAAATGGGGGTGGTGGTGAGAACCATAAGCAAGAGCAAAACAGTATCAACGTATGTAGCATGTACAGAGAATGATGATTAGTCAAATAAGGCCAGAGTATACAGTATCTAATATGGAAGAAGTTAAAAGCACAGACCTTTCAATAAAAATGGAGTAATGTTAACAACTATGGAGATATTCTCAGTCCTCATTCTAGTTGACCTGTTTCAGGATTTGGTAATTAGGAAGAGGCTGCCAGTAACCTACAAGAAAGAAGACTTGGCAGTTCCCACAGAGAGAGAGAGAAGTGGGAGCAGTAAATGAGCAGCTCAGAGTGAATGAGAAATTACAGTGGAGTCAAAAAGAATAAACTGCTCTTTAAAGAAGACAGGCATTACCAAGAGAAGATAGATGGAGTAAAACAAGAGGGAAAACTATCTGGTAACTAACTTCTTATTCCTTTTTAAGGATAAAAGAATACATTTTTGCTTGAAGTAAAGATGCATATGTGGAGTGAGAGATCAAAGATACTAACACAAAGGGTAGCTGATAATGCGCTGTGCACCATGAATTCATTAATCAATAACACTACTTTATAATATTTACAAGAATGGTGTTAAATTTAGTTTTTCTACTTTATATATTTGAAGGAAAATTTTCAAGAGCATATAAAAGAATAATCATCACTAATACAGCAAACTAACAGGTTATTAGAGGCAAATAAGAACCATAATAAGACCTCTTTCAGAAAATTTTTATTCAATATCACATTAAGAGAAATATACAATAAAAGGTAAGTGTTTTACAAAATAGCATGGCTTCAGATGGTAGTGATACATTAGAAAAAAATTGTTTGAAACTTCATACAAGCAAAAAGACTTGCAACCATAAACAACACTGAAAATTTTCTCATGAGCTTATGTTCATTTTAAGTTAATGAAAAACAAACATCACAGGTTTCATTCCACAAAATAACTTCACTATTCAATCTTCATAAAGACATCTTCTGTTATTGTGGGGGATGTTATGGTCTTAAATACTAAAAGACTACTACTGTGAATAAAACTTTACTGTACTTTTAGTTCAACTTAAATCCTTAAAAACGTCCATAGTCATACACTTCTGCACAACATTAACATTAAAAGCACATTATTAATTTTTGAAACATGTGGTTGTCTCAAAAGCCCAGAAGTAAAACATGTTCATTAAAGAGATGTGAAAAAGTTCCAAGTGAACTGCCAAAACTAGCATAATTATGAAAATATTTAACACTGAAACCATCTGAAATCACATACTGTATATAGATTATGGTGATGTCATAATAAACATTCCAGCCAAAATGCACTAAAACTACTGCAGTCCAATAAATCTGGCATATGTGAGATGACAAACATTTTAAAGCAAAAGAAAGAACAAGTAATTTTTACTCTATTTTTAAAAAATTATTAACAGCAAAATGGGATTAAATAAAACAATGAGTTTCAAATTTTTATTAAGTAGATAAAACTTCCCTAAAAACTATGTTTTTATTATTCAAAAGAAAATCAAACTAAATTCCTTAATTTGCCTAAACAAAATCTATTTAAAAACCTGGAATTTTAGTGTGCTTAAAAAATGAGCATTAACCATGATACTCATAAGAATATATACTATAAACCAAACATTACCAAACACGTAAACACTTTTTTCTTAATTAGGGTTGGGAAACTTTGATTATACAAATACTATAATTAGAAATTAATCATTTCAATGATTTGAACTTGTTTTCATTTCAATTATATTTTAGTTGTATCAAATAAAAGTGAGTCTCCATTCAAATTATGTCTCAATCAAATTAAAAAATTAAAATATTTATAATTAAGACTTAAATTACTTCCATAAGTTTTGAATTCATTATCTGCTTTTAACCAGTAGGCATCACTGTGGACTATTACACAGTTTTCGTTCATTAAAAACCCTTAATTACTAATAAAAGAAACTCTTTTCTCAAAAATACTAGCTAAAATATTTTGAGATAATTTTTAACACCAAACACATTACAGTTATATCTTATTTAGGTTGCGATTTTTCCAAAGTGTCTGGTAAGTATATTTCATGGCCAAAGAATGTTTTCTCTTGGGGACCACATAACTATTTCTGAAAATATTGCGATTTGCTCCTCATGAAACAAGCAAGAATGTCATTGCCTTACAAAAGTTCCTAACAGAGGGAAAATGTGTGGCAAAGACTGTATGTAAATAGAGCCATTACTTTCATACTGACAGATCATGAGTTCATGCTGTACACTTTTTTCCCTGTCGCTTATTATAGGGCTAGTCAGCTAAAATTAGAAAACCATCAACTCCCAGATTCACAATAGTGTTAATAAAACTGAAGGCGAGACATGGTGGCTCACACCTGTAATCCCTTCACTTTTGGGAGGCTGAGGCAGGCGGATCATTTCAGGTCAGGAGTTCAAGACCAGCCTGACAAACTTGGTGAAACCCCATCTCTACTAAAAAATACAAAAAATTAGCCAGGCATGGTGGTGGGTGCCTGTAATCCCAGCGACTTGGGAGGCTGAGGCACGAGAATCACTTGAACCCAGAAGGCAGAAGTTGCAGTGAGCCAAGATTGTGCCACTGCACTCCAGCCTGCGCAAAAGAGAGAGACTCTGTTTAAAAAAAAAAAAAAAAGAAAGAAAGAAAGAAAAAGAAAAGAAAAAATGGAAAACAAGTGATTAAATTACAGAGCAAGAGGTTAAGATGCAGGAAAGAGCTGAAGAAGGGGAAACTGAACAGTGAAACTAAGAGGTGATGTACTTTATGCTCTTCAACCCTGTGACACCAAACTTCACAAGCAGAAAAGAACTAAGACTCACCTGTCAGCTCCAGTCACCAAAGGGGCTTAGAAATAAACTACTACGGCCGGGCGCGGTGGCTCACGCCTGTAATCCCAGCACTTTGGGAGGCCGAGGCAGGTGGATCACGAGGTCGAGAGATCGAGACCATCCTGGTCAACATGGTGAAACCCCGTCTCTACTAAAAATACAAAAAAAATTAGCTGGGCATGGTGGCGCATGCCTGTAATCCCAGCTACTCAGGAGGCTGAGGCAGGAGAATTGCCTGGACCCAGGAGGCGGAGGTTGCGGTGAGCCGAGATCGCGCCATTGCACTCCAGTCTGCAGAACAAGAGCGAAACTTCGTCTCAAAAAAAAAAAAAAAAAAAAAAAAAAAAAAGAAATAAACTACTACAAGGCTCCTAGGAACATTCACCTCTATCCTCTCTAGCAGCAAGTACAATGACAACTGCCAGATGCAATAAAGAATCTCTGAGAGTAACACTGTACACTTCAAAGTCAGAAAGCTAAATAAGGTCATTTACTCAGAGGTACACTTGGAGAGCACAAGAGAGAGCCAGGGAAAACACATTCACTAACTTTTATGGTAAAAATAGAAATCTGACTCAACTCTACCTTAAGAGCAATATTTAAAACCTTAACTTTAGTCATAAAGAAAATATCAAGCATGCTTAAATAAAGTGGAATGTATAGCACCAGTCTCTACACACATCAACTTTAGTCCACAAGAAAGGCTGTTTCCATCTTCTCTCCTATCAAGGGTGGCAATAAGTGGTTACAATAGGTTGGTAAAAGGAAAAAGAAATGACCCTCCCTTGTATTCTTTTTACTTGATCACCTCAAAGAAAGATAAAGCTAACCTGAATGACCAAAATCTCAACATTCATTGGGTCACATTTTAAAAATAAAGGAAATCACTATACTCACTGTGAACACTTTTATGTGCTGATATCTCTCTTCTAATCTCTGAGATCCATGCTACTCAGTAAGAGGACCAGAGTCATTTTCCTAGATGACTCAACCAGTAGCCATCTATCTTCCACCTTCTATTCACCCACTTAGCCCCCTGACCCATGATATTGCCCCAGCCACAGAATGATCAAATTATTAAACTATGCCAGAACATATATAAGGGAAATTATAAAATATGTTAGGAAAAATTTGTTCTTTATTGCTGCCTATGACATTCCTTTCCTTCATATTGGTGAGTGTGTATCAGTTTGTCACCTCATTCTTCCACTTTTTTTAAACCACAAAATTGAAACTGTGAGTCCCTCTCTAAGATTTAGAAGGTAAAACAGGCAGAAATTCAGGGAGGAAAAAAGAAAAGTAAATACAGAAGTACTCTGGCCTAAACCACATTCTACCATCTAATATTTACCAGAATTCACTAAGGGGAATTGGGTTATCCAACAGACTAATTAAACTGCACTTTGTTTTCTTGTATACAAATTCCCTCAGCCAAAAATGTCCGAGCAAAGAAAAGTATGTGTTAGGCAGCCTCAGAAAAAAAAAGTAGTAAAATAGATATCTTTATCTAAGTATTTTACCTATTTACTTGAATAACAAGACCTATGTATATACTAAAAAGTTAGTAATTTAAGAGTTAATCAATGATGACATATGTCACAAAGAAATAGCAGTTCCCCTTACTGAGCATACTCTACTTTTCTTAACCTTGAAATACTTGCAACGGGCAGCAAGTATTTCAAGGATACGAGAAGAATAGCTTCTCTTAAGAAATGTGGACAGTAGGCGTAAACTAAAAATAAAATTCTTAGCCCCCAAAACCAGCTGAATGGACCCCTCCTGTCAAGCCACGGGTATTCCAAACTTAACCTGAAAAATTCCTTTAGGCAATGATGGGAGTGGGAGGTCGGACATGCCTCTCTTTGGAATTCAGGCACAACTGACCAGTATTAACATTAAAATAGAAATCTCAAGACTTTTTGTAGCAATAAGATACCAAATTCCACCCTGACTCTAGTATTGTATCACATGACAGATAGCAGGCCCTGAAAGAAATCAAAGTATTTTACCCTTATATTTCTTTGACATAGTTTGCAATGGCCCTACAAAGCTGTATCTTGTAGAGAAAATCTATATTCTGCATAGAATCCTTTTCCCTTTCCAGGTCTTTTCTCTGATCCAGGAGAGAATTAACTAAGAGTCTGGCACCTTTTTAAGTGTGATAAGAAACATTTACAATCTATTCCTTCTGCAGCCTGCTACCTGGAAACTTCATCTGCATATTAAGAACTTTGTTCTCCACAACCTTATCTTAACCCAGACACTCCATTCTATGGATTCCAGGTCTTTAGATAAATTCTTTCAACCAATTGCAAATCTTTGATTCTACCTCTACTTGGAAGCCCCTTCCTTCTCAAGTTGTCCTGCCTTTCCAGACCAAACCAATGTACATCTGGTATATACTGATTGATGTCTTGTGTCTCTCTAAAATGTACTAAAGCAAAGCGTAGCCTGACCACCTTGGGCACATGTCATCAGGACCTCCTGAGGCTTGTCCTTAACCTTGGCAAAATAAACTTCTAAATTGACTCAGACTTGTCTCAGATACTTTTTGGTTTACAAAGGGAAAGAAGAAGGCAGGCAGGGATGGATGGAAAAGACACAAACAGAAAAACTTTGTAACACTTTCAATATATCACATACTGCTAAGGACATTATGTTCGTATCTCTCTCAATCCTCCTAATCAACTATACGAATGCAAGGATATCCCCATTTTATAGATAAGGAAGCTAAGGGAAAAGAGATTAAATGCTTCAGAATCACACAACTATTAAATGCCCAATCCTAACCACTTTGCCCTATTGCCCCTCTGAGAAAAGGCTAACTGAAAAGTACAGTACTGTATTAACAACCTATCCTAACCTATCCAACCTAACCTTTTCTTATCCTGAGAAAGGAAAAATCAGAGTGAGATCAAGTACTCAGGAAAATATTACAAAGAACAAGAGATTTGAAAAGATTGTGCCCTGCAGGAATAAAAAAGGAAAGGTTGAACAAAGAAAGGTTAACATGCTGTACTGAAAGGATAATGGATGGCCCAATTTAGGTTAAATTGAGAGCAGTGAAATATCAAGCTGTAAAAAGAAACTAGGGCAAATCGCACAGGGTGTATTCGTCGAAGAAATTTAAGCTTTTATTCTGTATATTAAACAAGCCAATTAAAACTTATAAATGGGTGAATAAGATGAAGTACTTTATTTAGGAAGAAGAATTCTCTGAGTATGTAACCAAGAGCAAAAGCAGAAAAATCAACAATAGATTTCTTTAAAGGTTTAGAAATTAAATAATGAGGGAAATAGCACTGAGAAAAAAAATTCTTTATGTGAGCACCTCAAATTGAACACATCTAAAACAAAACTCATAACTCTGCAACTGTTTCAGCACCTCCCTCCCATTGTTTTCCCCCAAATCGTCAGTCCTTTATTCCCTAATTCAGTTAATGACACTATTATCTTCTCAGTCTCTTAAGAAAGAATATAATCTTTTATGGCTCCCCTAACATTGCAAATTGATGCTAATGCTCATGAGCTTTGCAAATTTCAGGACAGAAAAACAGATGCTTGGGCCAGGCACGGTGGCTCACGCCTGTAATCCCAGCACTTTGGGAGGCCGAGGCGGGTGGATCACGAGGTCAAGAGATCGAGACCATCCTGGTCAAATGGTGAAACCCCGTCTCTACTAAAAATACAAAAAATCAGCTGGGCATGGTGGCGCGTGCCTGTAATCCCAGCTACTCAAGAGGCTGAGGCAGGAGAATTGCCTGAACCCAGGAGGCGGAGGTTGCGCTGAGTGGAGATGGCGCCATTGCACTCCAGCCTGGGTAACAATAGCGAAACTCGGTCTCAAAAAAAAAAAAAAAAAAAACAGATGCTTGACCATGAATCATATAGAACAACACTACTCTCCCAGCTCCAGGCTACCCAGGAAATGACCAACTGATTTTTTTTTTTAAGATCTGATACTAAAAGTAAAATGGTAAATTCGATTTTTTTTTTTTTTTTTTTTGAGACAGGGTCACTCTGCCGCCCAGACTGGAGAACAGTAGTATGATCTCAGCTCACTGCAACCTCCACCTCCCAGGTTCAAGTGATTCTCCTGCCTCGGCCTCCTGAGTAGCTGGGATTAGACACGTGCCACCACGCCCGGCTAATTTTTGTATTTTTAGTAGAGACGAGGTTTCACCATGTAGGCCAGGCTGGTCTTGAACTCCTGACCTTAAGTGATCTGCCAACCTTGGCCTCTCAAAGTGCTGGTATTACAGGTATGAGCCACCATGCCCAGCCTAGTAAATTCAATTTTTGATAGGTACTATTTCTAGTAAAGGCATGCCATGCAATTATATATGTGCACAGGAAAGCTGAATGTGTACTAGAAGAGACTGAAACAGAGATCAGTTAGATAAAGACTTAGGACTCATTTTAAATACAAGTGATATTTGGAGCCAGGCTTGGTAGCATATTCCTGTAATCCCAGCTACTTAGGAGGCTGAAGCAGGAGAACTGCTTGAACCCAAGAGTTGGCAGCCAGCCTGGACTACATAATCAGACCCTGTCTCTTAAAAACAAAATGGTGATATTTGAAGCTTTTAGATTTCCAATAAAAAGGAAAAAAAAAAAAGGATTTATGCTTCTGATAAAGCCTGACTAGATAAAAAAAACATTGAGGATGGGGGAGGACAAGAAATACTAGCAATAGTAAAAAAGATGAAAATTTTAGCCAGGCTCAAAGCATTAAGTCAGATTGAGAAAGACAAGTGGCTATGCAAAAGATGCAAAACTTGGCAAAGGCAGATGAGGAATAAAGAGAACTCAAAATGGTCATGTAAGATGGGAGACTGTTACCAAGCGCAACACTTAAAACCAGTAATGGTGTGAAGCCCCAATTCTGAAGGAGGCAGAAAAAAGTTACTGCCAGCCACTGCCTAGAATTTAACATGAAGATACATAGAAAGGGTGTCAGAAGGAAACAAACCTCATGAAAAAAGAAAGTCCAGAAAAGGGAAATTTACAGAGACAGAAAGTAGGTTAGTGGTTTCTTGGGGCTGAGGTAGAGTCTGGAAATAGTATTGTAACAGCCAAAGGATTCGGTATTTCTTTTCAGGTGATGTGAATGTTCTAAAATGGATTGTGGTGATTGTTGCACATATCTGTGAATATATTAAAAATCATTGAATTGTACACTTTAAATGGGCAAACGGGTATAGTGTGTGAATTATATATCTCAATAAAGATGCTAAAAAAAAAAAAGAAGTGAGATAAGCAATGCTTTGCTGTCACTCAATACAACAATGCAAGAGTCTTGAACTGTCAAGATAAGACTGGATTCTAGACTATCAAACACAGGAAGTAACTATAAAACTAACAATTAGCAGAGGAAGGGCTTGAGTACGACAAGGAGAAGAGATGGTGAAATAGAGAAATAATGACCTTTCTGTTAAAAATAACCTTACAAACCACAATTCTAAAGCACACAAAGAAATCTAATGCTAAGACAGCTAAGGAAATCAATAAAATTAAGTCACAATCAAATTAATCTTCTAGAACAGCCTAAAACAATCTTAAAATAATTATATTTAGAATTCTCAGAGATACTTGAATAATATCTATACAAACAAACACAAAATATAAAGTAAGTGGGGAAATTACCCCCACCCCACATTATGATTTATTTTAGAACCACTGTAATTTAAACAAACCAATGGAACAGAGGAGAGCCCAGAAAGAGGTCCTAACATATATGGATACATGAATATGTCACAGGGAGCATTATAAATCACAGGGGAAGAGAGACAATTCAAAGGGTACAGGGAGAACCAGTTAGACAAATGAAGTGCCATACCTTACACTACACATGAAAACAAACCCCGCTGATTAAAAGATGTAAATTAAAAAATAAAATTTTAAAATTACTACAAGGAACCATAGGAAATTTTATATGACCACAGGTCAGTTGAAAATTTCATGTGAAACAAAAAAGCAAAAAATACAAAAGCAAAAACAGAAAAACCCAACTTCATTAAGACTAAAATAAGCTATTCTACACAATAAGACACACTAAAGAAAGTTAACAGAAAAACCAAAGAGTGGCAGAATATATTTGCAATACACCTAATATGCAACAAAATTGAATGTCCTGAATAAGGACTCTTGCAGTAGGAAAAAGACAAAATAAAAGAAACATTAATGTTATATATAATATATACAAGTATATATTTACATATTATTAATATATGATATATTATTAACATAAGAAAAGTAAAATAACTTGAACAGGCAATTTTTAAAAAATAAAAACCACTTTTTATGACAAAAAGTAAGTAAAAATGATAATGAGATAACATTTCACAACCAAAGATAACATTTCACAACTGGCAAAATTCAAGTATGAAACCATCAAGTATGGATTTGGCTTCAGATAAATAGAAATTCTCTTACAGTATAATCTAAAGAACAATTTTATATTAAGTGGGAAAATCGATGTACATAAACTGTAACTCAACAATCTACTTTAAAATTCTAAAATCTATACATAAGGAGAAATAAAAGCAATATTCATAGCAGGGTCATTATTTAATATTCACTAAACAATATACTATACAGCAGTTAACATTTATAAACTAGAATAAAATATCAACATGGATAGCATTACAACCAGGGTCTGGGTATCAACCTGCCCTGTCCACATCCACTGCAACCACATTCTATTTGGGGGGAGTGGGAGTAAGGGAAAGAATAGTCTACACAAACTGCCATCACAGCCACAGTTGTCATCTGGAGGCCTGGGAATTGATCTGCCTCAACCTGCTGTCATTGATAATAACACATATCATGATAGGGGGCCTGACAACAAGACCACCCCAGGTGTCACCACCACTTGCACACACACACCTGCCAACACCACTTGCCTGTCCAGGAATCAAAGGACAGGCACACCCAACCCACTGCTACTGATATCCAAGCACAACATCTGGTGGCCTGGGGATGAAACCATCCAACCTGCTGGTGCCCACACCCACATGTACCATCAGAAAGCTTAGGGACAGACCAGCCATGCCCACCAATATTGCCTATGCCCATCCTCCAGGGTCCTGGAAACTGACTCACCACACCTGGCACCTGTTATCTGGGAGCCTGGAGATTGATCCTACTGGCCTGCCAGTGCCAGAAGCCATACACACCTTCCAGTAGCCTAAGGATGAATCTGCCCAGACAGCCACCTTTGCCATGTGCACTATCTGGGGAGCTAGATGTAGACCCACCCTGGCCATTGCTGGCGTCAGCATGCATCTCCCAGGGGCCTATAGAACAACTTGCTCAGTTTCCTTTAGACAAGACCAAGTAATGTGCTGGCTTCAGGTCTGACCCAGTGAGTCACAGTGGTGGCCACATGGATGCTTGTGTTACCTTTTTCCCAGCCTGAAGCAGCTCAGCATGAAACTGAGTAATCCAGGGTATTCTCTGCCTGGTAATCCAGGAAATTCTCTTGGACCTTACTCAAGACCCGAAGGCAAAAGCTTTACAAGTCTATAAGAGTCACAGCATTACTTGGCTTCAGGTGTCCCCAACGCGATACAGCAGCAACCAAAGACTTAGATCACAACACTCAATGTCCTTTAGACACTTGGAAAGCCTTTCCAAGAAGGACGGGTACAAAGAAGCCCAGACTGCGAAAACTACAATAAACACCTAACTTTTCAATGCCCAGAAACCAACAAACATCCACAAGAATCAAGGCCATCCAGGAAAACATGACCTCACCAAACAAACCAAATAAAGTGCCAATGATCAATTTTGGAGAGACAGAGATATGAGACCTTTCAGACAGAGAACTTAAAATACTTATTTTTAAGCTCAAGAAACATCAAGATAACAGAAAGAAGGAAGTCTAATCGTATCAGATAAATTTAACAAAGATTAAAATAATTTTTGAAAATCAAGCAGAAATTCTGGAGCTAAAAAACTCAATTGACATACTGAAGAATGCATCAGAACCTCTCAACAGCAAAATTAACCAAGGAGAAGAAAGAATTAGTGAGGTTGAAAACAGGCTATTTGAAAATACATACAGGAGACAAAAGAAAAAAGAATAATAAAGAATGAAGCACACCTACAAGATCAAGAAATAATACTCAATGACATAATAGTTTGAACAATAAATACAGAATACAGAAGGAGAAAATTAAGAAATAAAATTAGAGAAAAGAAGGTAACGTAGACAGCCAGTGGAGAGGAAATCTGTAGATAATATATGTCTCTGAAGGGGAGTATCAGAAAAATGAAAAACAAAGAGAAAAAAATTAACTCTTACTATTTACTTCTGTATCATCTGAATTATTTTGCAACAAGCATTACTTTCACAGCAGCCATAAGCAGTCAAATACTTAATCTCACGCAGTTGTAATTATTTCAATAAGCATGAAATCGAGACTGTTCTAGAAAACTCAGGATATAATTTCCAAACTATGTACAAAGAAAGAATTAAAGTTTTCACAGAAAAATTTCATGCAACCATTCCAAAACACTTCAAAATATTTAACTGACTGGATAGAAAATGTATTAGTACTTTAGGATGTTAATAACCTGTAGGGCTGAGGGCCCCACAGGGTCCTGGGGTGAGCCTTATGCTGTGCTGAGGCGCAGGATCTGAGAAATAAAGAGACAGGACACAGAAATACAAAGAAAACGCAGCTGGGCTCAGGGGACCACGCCACCTATAAGCGGAGTCAGGCGAGGCCCCGAATGTCCAGAAGCATAAGTATTTATTGTGTATAGGTTAGGGGGCAGAGCAGTGAGTGAAATCATCTTTAAGGATAGTGATAGGGTCATGAGCAATAAAACATGGGGTCCACCCCCATTAGGTCACCAAGGCCGGGAGGTGGACAGTGCACAGCAAGGGGCCCATTCCCATGAAGGCAAGGGCCGTATGCAGTAAGGAGTCCACTCCCATTAGGTCACCGAGGCTTGAAGGTGGACCGTGCGCAGTGAAGATGGTGCAGTGTGCAATACTTCTATCTATGGGCAAGCTACTTCTAAGAAGATTTATAGGAGGATGCTTTAAGTCACATACCAGTGACAGAGCTGTCAAGGTTACCGCCACCTTCTGGCAGCTTCCAATGGGTTCTATGGAAAGATGCTTTTCAAGCAGCACAGTAGCAAGAGCTGATAAAGTTCACAGTTACCAAGGTGGATTGCCGTTCTGAGGGCAGCCTTCCACAAGAACTGGAGCAAGGTCCTACAACTCCTTTGTCAGAAGGAGTGGCTCTTGCCCCAAGCCTGCCATACAGTGGGTATCTTTACCTTACTAAACGCTGCCGCCTGGGCCATGGATTCTTGTCCTGGTATAACTGTTTTTCCCTTAAATCATGCTCTGCACTGTGTCTGCTCTAGGCATTCCTCTGATTATAAGCAGCTTATTCCTTAATTCATGCTCTGTACTGTGTCCACTCTAGGCATTCCTCCAATTACAAACTAAGATATAATTATAGGTATATATGTAAATATTCTTTAGGCACTCATACTATCAACTATTATATGATTATATATAGAGGATTATATAAAGGGATTCTTCAAGTCCTATTCTATAAACTAATATATGATTATGTAAAGGATTATATAAAAGGAAATAGCTATGTAGTAACACTATAAAGTGAGATATTTCTCAAGCCCTAACTGTGCCAGGGTTCTGCTTAGCTCTCATTCCTCAGTGCCTATATGGGGGGTTACCCACAACAACCTACTAACAGGATATAACAAATCACATATTTTAAGATAATCAAAGAACTAAAAGAGAAGTTCACGGGGCCAGGTGCTTCGGCTCATGCCTGTAATCCCAGCACTTTGGGAGGCTAAGGTATGAGGACTGTTTGAGGCCAAAAGTTCAAGACAAGCCTGGGGAACACAATAAGACCCAGTCTCTACCAAAAAAAAATTAAAAATTAAAAAATTAGCTGGGCATGGTGGCGCATGCCTATTGTCCTAGCTACTCAGGAAACTGTGGCAGGAAGATTGCTTGAATCCAGCAGTCTGAGGCTACAGAGATCTGTGACTATGCCACCACACTCCAGCCTGGGTGGACAGAACAAGACCTTGTCTCTAAAACTTTTTTTTAATTTAATTAAAACAATTAAAAATTAATGGAAAAAGCAGCAAGAGAATTTTTTTCAAATGTATTTAGAATCTTTTTAAAAGTAAACTATATGCGCTCTAAAGTTTTCTGCCAATACTCGTCCATTTTCCTTCTCAAGTTCAACATACTAAATATAACAACCTCTTGTAGGCCATTCTGAGTATAATTTCCAAGAACCATAACCCTGAATGGTGATGACAATTTACTCAGTAATACTAGATCATTCTGTCATTCTCAGATCAACCTACTGTGAAGTCTAGACTTCACATGTGTAAATATCTGTGTGCATACAGATGTATACATATATAAATTATTAGAACATATATGTGCATATATATAAACATACTCTAATAATTTATTAGATACATACATACTCTAATAATTGAAATACTGCAATATTAACTTGTTCTTATGTCTCTTAATAACAAAACAACTCCTTTCTTGAGACACGCTATAGTCCTGTCACCCAGGTTGGCAGTGGTATGATCACAGCTCATGGCAGCATCAATCTTCCAGGCTCGATCCATCTGCCTGCCTCAGTCTCCTGAGTAGCTGAGACTATAAGCATGTGCCACCAAACCCAACTAATTTTTGTATTTTTTTTGTAGAGATGGGTTTGACCATGTTGCCCCAGCTGGTCTCTAATTCCTAGGCTCAGGCAATCCACCCACCTCAGGCTCCAAATGTGCTGGGATTACAGGAGTGAACCACCATACCCAGCCTGACTCCATTTATTTAAGGGCTCAAATTTTGTAGGTATTATGTTATCAAAATATCTGCTAATTTAACAATGAATAATAGTTCACCTTCCTTGCCTGTTTCTACATAAAGCCAAAGTAAATATACACAATAACTATCTTGTCTACACTCAAGTATGTCAATTTCTTAACATCAGTAACTCCAAGCTTTCTAAATTTTAGCAATTACCAGCATGCAAATTCCTGTAAACAATCTAGAAAAAACAATGCAATTTTTAAATTATTTTATGCTTTTAATTTTAATGGAATTAAATGTCACATTTGGCCGGGTGCGGTGGCTCATGCCTGTAATCCTAGCACTTTGGGATACTGAGGCAGGCAGATCATGAGGTCAGGGGTTTGAGACCAGCCTGACCAACATGGTGAAACCTCGTCTCTACTATAGACACAAAAATTAGCCAGGCATGGTTGTGCGCATCTATAATCCCAGCTACTCAGAAGGCTGAGGCAGGAGAATCACTTGAACCCAGAGGCGGAGGTTGTAGTGAGCCAAGATGGTACCTCTGCACTCCAGCCTGGGTGACAGGGCAAGACTCCATCTAAATATATATATATATATATATATATATGGGCTGGGCACGGTGGCTCACGCCTGCAATCCCAGCACTTTGGGCGGCCAAGGCGGGTGGATCATGAGGTCAAGAGATCAAGACCATTCTGGCCAATGTAGTGAAACCCTGTCTCTACTAAATACAAAAATTAGCTGGGCGTAGTGGCCCGCGCTTCTACCCCCAGCTACTTGGGAGGCTGAGGCAGGAGAATTGCTTGAAGCCAGGGGGCGGAGGTTGCAGTGAGCCAAGATCACACCACTGCACTCCAGTCTGGCGCATGGCGAAAGAGCGAGACTCTGTCTCAAAAAAAAAAATTCACTTTTAAATGATTATATACATTAAAATAAGAGTAGGCACCGGGCACAGTGGCTCACACCTGTAGTCTCAGCACTTTGGGAGGCTGAGGTGGGCGGATCACCTGAGCTCATGAGTTCTAGGCCAGTCTGACCAATATGGGGAAGCCATGTCTCTACTAAAAATACAAAAAAATTAGCCAGGGCGTTGTGGCAGGCACCTGAAATCTCAGCTACTCGGGAGGCTAAGGCAGGAGAACTGCTTGAACCCAGGAGGCAAAGGTTGCAGTGAGCCAAGATAGCACCATTGCACTCGAGCCTAGGCGAAGCTCCACCTCAAAAAAAAAAAAAAAAAAAAAAAAGTAGGCAAACTTTCTGTAAAGAGCCAGACAATAAACACTTTTGGCTTGCAAGCCATGTAGGCTTTATCAAAATGATATGGTTTAGCTCTGTATACCAACTTGGACCTGGTGGGAGATGAACAGTTCATGGGGACGTTTCCCCCATGCTGTTCTCATGTTAGTGAGTGAGTACTCACGAGATCTAATGGTTTTAAAGTGTGGCATTCCACCCACCCCTGCAACCACGTTTGTGCCCTGCTTTCCCTTCACCTTCTGCCATAATTATAAGTTTCCTGAGGCCTCCCCAGCCATGCAGAACTGTGAGTTAATTAAACCTTTTCTTTATAAATTACCCAGTCTCAGGTAGTTCTTTATAGCAGTGTGAAAACGGACTAATACATGCAACTTCTCAATTCCACCACTGAAGCATGAAAGCAACCATACATGATATTTATACAAGTAAGAGTGGCTGTGTTCCAAAAAACTTTACAAAAACAGGCAGTGAGCCCATGGGCCGTAGTTTGATTACCCTTACTCTAAATCATCTGTCTTTCTAAAAATTTACAAAATAAATTATACAACCTATAATTGCTTTGTAACCTAATGATTTCATTATATAAGGCAAAAATTTCAGACCACAAATATATCTGAATTATAAGAAAATCTATAGAACAGCTAGGAAAGAAAAAAGGACAAAATTTATGCTTGGCAAAAGTACCACCAAGAAGACAAGGTATTTCTTGTTATTCCTTAACAGTTTTAATGAAAGACTCAAGGTTTAATAAAAGAAAGGAAAGGAAGTATCCATAAGCAAATGGGCTGAAGAAGATTCTAGAGGTTCAAGGGAAAAGAAAAATAAAAATATTTCTGAAATAAAATAACATATGTAAGACCTACATAATGTAAAATAGCATATTCCAAACATATGCAAAAGTAAACGTGAAAATATAGCCAACATGATAAAGATCTAAAAGTGTCATGGGAAAACAATAGGAGCATGGGAGGAAAAACTAGAAATATCTCCTAATCATATATAATTCCAAAGCAACAAATTCCAAGAGTATTCAATGTATAAGAAGAAAAGAATGCATTTTAGATTAATTTTCAGTAAACCACAAAATAATTTTCTCAATAGTATTTTGATGCCAATTGAGATTATTTTAAAGAACTGAAGAAAAAGTTAAAAGGGTTAAATTATACATTATTATAATATTAGCAAGTATAATATTTTTAGACACGCTGTTGTTGTTGTTGTTGTATTATAGGCATTCCAAAATTTGTTGATTCTTAAGTATTCAGATTACAATAATTCATTTCACTATTGCTATAAAAGATACTCTGGTTCCTAAAAGAAAAAATGCATCCCACTTCAAAAATAAGTAAATAAAGAAAAAAGACCATAGTGTTTACTATATTCACGTTTAACTTAATTAAGAAATATTTTATTTTGTAGTTGCAATCCTCTAACATCTATTCCATACTTGAGTGTCCATCTATATTCATAGATACTTTCAATAATGGTTAAAAAAAGATTTGAATACCTTTAAACTGTTATTAAGAGAATAATGTATTCTTATGTATTAAGGAATTAAAAATTAAACATATAATAATGTTATTTTTCAGGGCCCATACTCTTCAACAGTTGAACTGTTGTCTTATTTGAACAATAGAAAAGAATAATGATAATATATTGTGTTTTGTAAAGGCATATCTATTCTCTTATTGGTTTTGATGTACATGAAATTTCTCTGTATGAACTACTACATACTATTTAGTTTTAGAGAAAACCCTAAATAAGAACAGTTTTCCCTTTTGTAGCATTGGCATTTGTATTATAATTGTTAGACTAATCTTATTCACAGGAAATGGCATGTCCTATCTTCCCTATAAAACAAATAGGGAATCAGAAGCAAATAATGGTTTTACTGAATAAGATACTGAAGGTGAGAATCAGTCTAACTTGGGGGAATATTTGGATTTAGACAATTTGAAGCAAATAAAAAAATATCCCAGGAGGGCTGAGACATGAGCTTGGACATAAGGAAGCATTTTAACAACGAAGGCGGACCGTCATATGCACCTTTGTGTACACAGAAGCACAAAATAACAATGAACACCAAGCAAGACTCACTCCTTAAAACCTATGTGAGTAAACACAACACTCTTGTTTTAATCTCTTAAAATTATTCAAAGCAATAAAAATTATTATTGTACATTGTAAGTGTATAACATACAGAAGTAAGAGTTATGACGACATTAGCACAAATGATGATGGGAGACAAAAAAGCAGCATCCTCTCATAAGCATTCTAGGTAAGGGATAATATTTATGAAGTACAGCTAATTAATAATGGAGACAAAAGAATGCTAAAATATACTCAATTAATCCCAAAGAAGGCAGAAAAAGAAAAAAAGAAACAAAAATCAGACGGGACCAGAAAAAATAAAGACATTAAACTTAACCTAACCACATTTAAAACTAAATGCAAGTAAACATTCCAATGAATAGTCAGAAATTGTCAGACTAGTAACACCCAACTATAATCTGTCCATAGAAAACTCAGGTCAGATGGAAAGACTACAGTTTCTGTGCAGTTTCTAAATACTAGGCATCTCAAGTTTCAAAAAATAGTCATGGCAAAATGAACAAGTTCAAGAAAAAAGAAAATCAAAAGCATCTAATCATCAAAACAAAAATCAGAGAACTGTTGGATTTTATGGATTCAAAGGGAACCCAGAAAGTATGTGAACCAAACAGAAACCAAAAACATGCCAAAAACTGGAAGCTGCAATCTGTGTTCCTTATGTCTTTAATGCCAGATAACACATTGAG